TATCTATCTATCTATCTATCTATCTATCTATCTATCTATCTATCTATGGTTTCTCTGTGTAGCCCTGTCTGTCCTGGAACTCACTCTGTAGACCAGGCTGGCCTCAAACTCAGAAATCCACCTGTCTCTGCCTCCCAAGTGCTGGGATTAAAGGCGTGCGCCACCACTGCCCGGCGGAAACTGCTTTTTTTGAAAAGAATTATTTATTTTAATTATACGAATACACTGTAGCTGTCTTTAGACACACCAGAAGAGGGCATCAAATACTGAAATCTGGAAGAGCAGTCAGTGCTCTTAACTGCTAAGCCATCTATCCAGCCCAGGAAACTGCATTTTTTAAGCTCTGGGGATGGAGTCTAAATTTTCCACGAATGGAGTTGAGTATACCTGGTTAGCTTCAAGTTTCTCTAAGTCAGTGTTCATCCATCTTCTTCCTTGCATCTTTTCTTACTTTTTGTGACCAAGTAATATTTTATTGTAGAGACTACTCGGTTTTTTTACAATTTAAAATGGATGTGATATATGATGACCTTTCAACGTTTCACAAGATTTTCTTACATAATTCTTCTTGTCTTTAAGTAAGAATGTTCCCTTTAAAATTGTCCGAGCCTCCAATGGTGATGCCTGGGTTGAGGCTCATGGAAAACTCTATTCTCCAAGTCAGATTGGAGCATTTGTGTTGATGAAGATGAAAGAGACTGCAGGTGAGTGGATTTATTTCATTCACATCTAGGAATCAGAAGTGCTGTTTGTTCTCTTCATTAATATTGATTAACTTGTTCCATAGATGGTGGGATCTGAAGCTTTTTGCATAGAAAATTTAGGAAGGGCAAAACTTTGAAACTCTTCATACTTAATCTGCAAATTGAATTTAACTTTCCTAATGATGCCTGCTGGTTTTTTTCTTTGTTTTGTTTTTTCTTTGTGTTATTTTTTTTCTTTTTTTCCCAGTAGGATGCACTGTAGTGATTTTGTGTTAAAAGCCATAAAGCTACACATTGAACTTCAGTCCAAAGGTCACTGGATATTGATAAGTCTTGACTAAAATGCTAAAGGTGGAATTTCCACCAACATCTCTGCTGTTGAGCTACACAAAAGCATTTCCCAGACCTTCAAGCATTTTGGGAAAGGGGGTTGGGAGCAACAACACAGGGAGGCGTGCATCCCAGGCTGGTTTGAGCTTCTGATCCTACAGTTGTAGCCACCTAAGTACTAATGTAGTTAGGGTGGTTTGTTTTTGAGACCAGATTTCATACTATAGTCTAGGTTGTCTTGGAACTAACTTTGTAGCCAAGACTGGCCTCAAACTTGTAGAGATTTTCCTGTAGCTTTCTGAGTGCCAAGATCATAGGCATGAGCTACTGTGCCTACAGGTCTTGCTTTGTAACCCAGGACAGCTTTGAACTCTTGTTTCTCCTGCCTCCTGGGTGCTAGATATAGTACTCACTCTAGTGTCTGTCTTTCTTGGAGTGTTTATTTCCATGGTCTCTCTGTATATTAAACCACAAAGAAGTCTATTGCTCCACAAGAGGACAAGATATGGATGGAATATTAGGCTTCACTAGTAGTTTTGTTGCTTTTTTTTCCTGACATAGTACCACAATTGAATTTTACTCTCTGTTTCACAGAAAATTACTTGGGCCACACAGCAAAAAATGCTGTTATCACAGTCCCTGCTTATTTCAATGACTCACAGCGACAGGTAAAATTTATGAGATCCCTTGTTTGCTGGGATTAGGGGTGGAGTGCCTGAGTTAAAGGATGGAAAGATAGATTTGTTTCTTCTTTGTCTAGGCCACTAAGGATGCTGGCCAGATATCTGGGCTAAATGTGCTTCGAGTGATCAATGAGCCTACAGCTGCTGCTCTGGCTTACGGTCTGGACAAATCTGAAGATAAAGTGTAGGTTGATACAGTAAATATTCTTAACTGATTTACAGGGGTTTTTGTGTGTGTGTGTGTGTGTGTGTGTGTGTGTGTGTGTGTAATTTTACTACATTTTGTGTTTTGTGTCGGTCTATGTGTTGTGGTACATACGTTCCATGGCATGCATATGGAGGTCAGAAGATAAAATGTGTGAACTGGCTTTTGCCCTTTCCTAAGATAGGTTTTGGGTCAGGCTGTCAGGTATGGTGACAAGTGCCTTCACACTCGATGGTCTTGCTCTTTTGTTAATTAAGAATTATTCTTATTTTCAGTCATTAATGTGTTTGTATATAGGTATATGCATGTTACTCCTGACATAGAGATGTCAGATTCCCCTGGAACTGAAATTACAGGTGGTTGTGTGCTACCTGATGTAGGTACCTGAAATGACACTGATGTGTGCTCTTAGCTGAGGAACTCCAGCCCCCACACACTTCAAATGTATGGTGTGTGTGGTGGGGCATGTCCATAGCACAGTGTGGATGTGGAGGTTGGGACAATTTAGAGGAGTCAGTTCTCTCCTTACATGTAAGTTTCTGGAATTGATCAGGCTTGGAATCAAACATCTTTACCTGCCGTCTATTTTGACAGCCTTTGTGATTGTAATTTGTTTTGTTTGAAGACATAGTTTCTTTATGTAGCTCTGGCTGTCTTGGAACTTCCTATGTAAACCAGGCTATCCCCAAACTCAGAGATTTGCTTCTCTCTCCCCTTCCCTGGCATAAAGGCATGCACTACTACCATCTGACTTGTGCTGTAAATGTAACCTGAACTATAAACTAAGTCATAACAGCTATAAGGTTTTTCCTAGAGCATTACTATTTCATAGGGTGAAAGCATTGTGCTTAGACCAAAAAAAAAAAATTTACTTTATTCTCTCCAAATCTGTTTGTATGATTATTAATTCAAGACCATTTTACTGTCCATTTTAGACAAACCCTTGATAATTTTTTTGTTGTTATATGTTGACAAATACTTTGGAAACCATAATTGTGTGTCACTAATTTTACTTGTTTCTGTATTGCATGTTTATGATACCATATCTTAATAGGCATGTAACTTGTTAAACATTTCACAAGTTTTAAATATTTTAGGAGAATAGCAAGGTTAATAATAAACTTTGGTATTTCAATTCATTACTTTGTAATGTGTTTTGTTTCTTGGGCTTTATTTAATTATTATTATTATTATTTATTATTTTTTTTTTTTTAGCATTGCTGTGTATGATTTAGGTGGTGGAACCTTTGACATTTCTATCCTGGAAATTCAGAAAGGAGTGTTTGAGGTGAAATCTACCAATGGAGACACTTTCTTAGGAGGTGAAGACTTTGACCAAGCTTTGTTACGGCACATTGTCAAGGAGTTCAAGAGGGAGGTTAGTTACCACTGCGGTTAATGTGTAGGCTTTGAGTTGTTGAGAATTTTTTTTTGTTCACCTTGCTTTTTGCTTTGTTAATAGTTTTTCTACACTAAGGTAACTAAATTGCATTTCAGATTCATGGGTAAACTAAACCATTTTAGTTATATAATCTTAGATTGGGAACAAAAGACCAAGGGATTTTGGTTACAGTATTGGAGAAGGAATTTTAGGAACTCTGAAAAACAAGACCTTGAGTTTGGCTGTGTTGATTGGAGTCTACTGACATAGGTCAGATAATTTACTAATACTTGGTTGTTTTCTACAGATCTTTAAAAGTGATAATTTGTATTTCTTTATAAACAGTTGGCCCCTTAATAGGCAAACAGTGTGTTCTACATCACTACTATAATTCTGCATTAATTGTCTAACTAATCCTATTTTGTAGACAGGGGTTGATTTGACTAAAGACAACATGGCACTTCAGAGGGTTCGAGAAGCTGCTGAGAAGGCTAAATGTGAACTCTCCTCATCTGTGCAGGTGAGAGATGGAAAAATTCCAGTACTGAGCATATTTGAGTAGTATATTCTATTTACCTAATGTCAGTGTAGCCTCTCTACAGTTTTGTTTGCTGAAATCTTTGGCCATGATCAAAGGAACAACATGATGATCAGTTCTTTTCATTTTAATGTGTGAAGTAAATTTTTTTTGTTTGTTTGTTTGTTTTTTTTTGGTTTTCCAAGACAGGGTTTCTCTGTGTAGCCCTGGCTGTCCTGGAACTAACTCTGTAGACCAGGCTGGCCTCAAACTCAGAAATCCGCCTGCCTCTGCCTCCCAAGTGCTGGGATTAAAGGCATGTGCCACCACCACTCTGCTGAGCTAAAAGTTTATAAAGGTATACTAGAACCAAATAACAATCCAATCATGCTTCTATTTGAATGACATCGGTAATTCACTTTTAAGTTAAAGATGTGTTTTTCCTCCCTTCTTTCTTCTTTCTCCCCCAACTCACTCCCCAGTGCTGGGATTAAAGTCCTATAGCACCACAAAAACAGCAAGATGGAAATTTTAGAGCGGGAGATGATAGCTCATTGGTAGAGGACTTGGCTAATGTAAACTCTTTTGAGTTACATCCCAGCATTGCAAAAAGGAAGGTCTAGTGAGATAGTTAAGGCTGGAGTACTGTTACCAAAGCAAGTCTGTGTGCATAATGAGTTTCAGCCAACTTGTGTTTTGTAGCATGACTTGTCTTTAACAAAGAAAAACAGGCTTTATTTCTTTGGGGCTTGTAATTGAACCCAGGGTCTAAACACCTGCTAGATCCTTTGCCCCCAAGGCACTGATTTCTAAAAATCCATGATAAATACCTGTAATCCAGTACATACAAAGCTGAGGCTAAAGGGTTCCATAATTTGAACTAGCTTGAGCAACATAGATTTTGGCATGTCTTCAAAATGGGCAAGGCATTAGTAAAAGTAATGTGAAGAATTAGAATTACTAACCTAGAAAAATCTCTTAACTTTAATCTACTACTTTGTGAATTGCTGATTCTCTGTCATTTAATAAATTGGATCACCATTCTAGAAAATGAGCTGTGAAACAAGTTTGCTCCATTTGAGTTCTGAGATTGTTGACCTCATTTCTGAGAGGTGAACCTTCCTTGTCTTAACTACCAAGCGTAGACTAGTAAAAAAAAATCCTTGTTAGATCTAGACTGTAGGCTGGCGGCCGGACTCCCATGGTCTTGATGTTGGTTCTTCAGTGATAGCAAAGCTGTGACTGCTTCATGTTGTTTTGTTTCCCAGCAGGAGGTTCTGGGCTGTTGGTTCTGTGGTTGTTAATTAACTTTTGTTGAAACCTGGATGCTGTATATAAAATCTGCCTCTCCTCCCTAGCTTCCAAACTTTGTTTGAAAGTAGATATGAGTAGTTACAAAGTGCTAAATACTATTAAAAAATTTATTTTTTGTCATTTATTAAATGACAGAAAACCAGCAATTCACAAAGTAGATTAAAGTTTAAAAAAAAAAAACTCTTTAAGGTTAGTAATTCTGATTCTTCACATTACTCTTACTAATGCCTTGCCTTATTTTGAAAACGTGCCGAGATCTATTGATGTCATATCATTTGTCCCTGCTGAGTGACAGAATGTTTAGGGTTATGGCTTAAGAGTTTTTTATTTAGCACTATAAAGTGTATTAAATCCTTTTACACCTGTGATTATAAATCTGTAAAATGAATCCTAAGCAACATCTTGATAGATTTACTAATTTACTGTGGAAAGATGGACATTAGAATATTAATATCAAACCAAATTCTTGTTTATTGTTGAGGTTGGGTTTCTCTGTATAGCCCTGGCTATCCTGGAATTCTCTAAACCAGGCTGACCCCAAACTCACAGAGACCTAACTGCTTCTGCCTCCCACATACTGGGATTAAACCATCCCTGGTTTGAAGTAGCCAGTGTTCTTAACACTGTGATTTTGGATAAATCCTTTCACTTTTTCTTTTTAACTTCCAACTGAGGCTAATAAATGGTAACTTTCTCTTACAGTTGTGAGGTTTACCAGATGAATATATACTTTCCTAAGAACACTAGTAAATAGAAAGGACTATGTATTGAATAGTATCTTAAAGGTAAAGGTGATGACTTAATCCCAGCACTCTGAACCTGAAGCAGGAAGATTAGTGTCAGTTTTAAAAGAACCTAACAGCTGGGTGTGCTGGTTCACAGGAAGATAAGAGTTTGTCAGCCTTGCCCGATTAGTGAGATACTGTGTGTGAGAGAGTTCTGAGGCTGAAAAAAACATCTGACTAGGGCATACATGTTAAGGACAGGATAGTTTGAGGTGGCACAGAAGAGATGACTTGCTGAGAGTAGTTGCTGTCCTCCCCCTCTCCCTTTTGGTTCCTAGCATCTGCTTGTACCAGTACAGGGAACTGACACCTTTTTCTTGCTTCTGTAGACGCCTGTACTTACGCAGTACACATCTACATACATTTATGTAACACACTTTTTAAGAGACTTGGAGAAAATTCAGTGCGGGCAGTATGTATAAGGCTCTGGGGTCAAGACCTGGTGAAGGGTTGGAAAAGCCGAGTGCAGATGGAGGAGATGGTAAGCCTAGACACAAATGTGGATCATAAGTACAGACCCAAGAAGAATTATTAAACATAGTCAAATTATGATTTCTGAAAAGTTGGGCTGGGCAGTGGTGGTGCACGCCTTTAATCCCAGCACTTGGGAGGCAGAGGCAGGTGGATTTCTGAGTTCGAGGCCAGCCTGGTCTACAGAGTGAGTTCCAGGACAGCCAGAGATACACAGAGAAGCCCTGTCTCGATAAACCTTAAAAAAAAAAAAAAAAAAGTTGGAATAGAATGAAAAATGTTTTTATGGAGTCTTGAATTAACAAGAGTTAAGTGATAGAGTTTAAAATGAGGAAGGAAGGCAGGCAGGCAGGCAGAACTTTGTTATAGAATGGCTTTGTCTTTAAAAATTTTTTTGGCCTCAAACTCAGAAATCTTCCTGCCTCTGCCTCCCAAGTGCTGGGATTAAAGGTGTGCGCCACCACTGCCCGGCCAAGAATGACTTTGTCTTAAAAGTTAGTAGTCCCATGCTGGGTGTAGTGTCACTTGGGCGGCAGAGGCAGGTGGATCTTTTGAAGTCCCAGGTCATCCCACTATATGTAGTTTTAGGATCCCCAGAGCAACATAGCAAGACCCTGTTTTAGTCACACACACACACACACACACAAAGACAGTTGGTAGTCGTAGAAAGTCGTCAGTAATTACATAGGGCTAGTGATTGCCAAATTGAATGAGACTGTTTCTGTTGACAAACTGGCCAGACAGCATTGATGTTATTTTCTGATTTGTCATAGAAGTTTTCAAAGAAATTGTCATTTTTCCTTTGAGCAGTATATATATATCACCCTATATAGACAATCTATTGACTGTGAAGTATTTAGCTGTCTAAGGTAGTTTGTCCTGAAGAAAAGTGCTTAAGAACTAGTTACTCTCAGGTTGAATATCTTATTAGCCTTTTATAGAAGTGTAAAGCAATTGTGGGAGTCAGACAATGTTAATTGCAAATTCTTTGAATTTCACTAGTGTAATTTTTTAAACTTTTTCTAGTTACATACACAGGAACATGTATTTGCTATGAAACAAATTGAATACTGAGATTAGATATGTGCTATATATACTCTAGAGTATTATTAATTATATAATAAATTTTTATTAAGATATTTTCATACAAATATACAATATAGTTATCACATCAAGTCTAAATATCTTTGATTGCACATAATATGGTCACAAGCTATGGGATTTAGGATATTAGATGTTTTGTTTTTAAGATTTATTTATTGTATGTGAGTGCACTGTCACTGTTTTCAGACACACCAGAGGAGGGCATTATATCTCATAACAGATGGTTGTGAGCCACCATGTGGTTGCTGGGAATTAAACTCAGGACCTCAGAAAGACCAGACAGTGCTCTTAATTACATCTCTCCAGCCCATTTTTTTTTAAAAATATAGATGGATAGATAGTTATTAGTTCTGTGGGATGACAACAGTACAAGTTAGGTGTCTTGAGTCAGAGTCTCTTGCAGATCAGACTAGTATTGAACTCGGTATAGCTGAAGATGAGTGCATGTCTGATCTACTTACTGCCTGCAGCTCCTGAGGGCTCAGGTTACAGGCAGTGCCAGCAAACCCAGTGTACAGTATATACTGGTCCTGCTTTTTTCTGGTAAGAGATCTTGTAACAGTCAAATTTCCTCAAACTTGGCCTGGATTATGTTAAGAGGTTGATGGAGAACATTTTTTCTTTCTTTTTCTTCTCCTTTGAGACAGTGTTTCTCTGTATAACCCTGGCTGCCCTGGAACTCACTCTGTAGACCATGCTGGCCTTGAACTCAAGAAATCCGCCTGCCTCTGCCTCCCAAGTGCAATTAATCCAAGTGAGATTAAAAGTGTGCACCACTTTTAATCAGCTGAGAACATTTTTCTTTATACACATGTGATTTTTTTTTTTTAATGATTTTATGTATGCGGAGAGAATGGAAGGAGGTGACTGAGGATTCCAGTGGAAGGTAGAATAGAAATGTCAGAATCCCTGGAACTGTAGGCAGTCCTTAGCTAGGTGCTAGATATCAAACTCTGGTTATCTCTAAGGATAGCAGTCCCTCCTAACTACTGAGCCCCCATTTTAGCCCAGACATGAGATTTTTGGTTTTTCGACACCGGGTTTCTCTGTAGCCCGGGCTGTCCTGGAACTCACTCTGTAGACCAGGCTGGCCTCGAACTCAGAAATCCACCTGCCTCTGCCTCCCAAGTGCTGGGATTAAAGGCGTGCACCACCACTGACTGCCCGGCCGTAGTATGTTTCTTAAAGATCTTTTCTGCCACTATATATTTGTCAAATAGTAATTTTTTTCAGCTTGTCTACTCCAGTCTTCATTGTTAATATATGTTTAGACTCCATTAAAATAGATTCTGTAATAGGCATTTCTACTTAGGAATCATTGCCTTTGGTAGCTACTCATTTAGTAAGGCCTACCCTATGTGCTTTTCAAGTCCATGATTATGGTCTTAAACTTTGAATCGAGTATCAAAGTACCAATTGGGCTCCCTACTGACATGTAGTTCTTGTGCAGACTGACATCAACTTGCCGTATCTTACAATGGATGCTTCTGGACCAAAACATTTGAATATGAAACTGACTCGAGCTCAATTTGAAGGCATTGTCACAGATCTAATCAAGAGAACTATTGCTCCATGTCAGAAAGCTATGCAGGATGCAGAAGTCAGCAAGAGTGACATAGGAGAAGTGATTCTGGTTGGTGGCATGACAAGGATGCCCAAGGTATGAACTCAATGGTATTCCTCATAGAGGAAAAAAATACATAATGCATTGGGACAAATGGGTTGTGTGTGGACATGAATATGATCCATGTTCTTTAAAGGGTGGTAAGAACAGACTCAATAAAAAGTGCTTTTAGTTGCCTGTGATGATGGCTCATGCCTGTAATCTCAGCACTTGAGAGGATAAAGCAGGAGGATGGCCTTGAGTTCTAGTTAAGAGGCAGCTACAGAATTATAACTTGTACACACATTCCTCCAAAAAAAAAGCTTTTTTAGTTTATTGAAATTACAGGATGCAAGAAAAGGTAGCAGGGAGAATCCTAAACCCAGTCTGGTATGATAATGTTTTTAAGCCTTGATAGTAGCCAGGCCCTGGGGCTTCTTTTGGACACATCTTCCCAGTAGTACTTAATGGGGGGTAGGTTGGGGCCCTACTTGAATTTCTTCAACAAAGATTTGTGCAGTGATGCATATTATTAATCGACACATCATTCTGAAAACAGATGTGTAGAGAAGTAATAACTGAGCACAGACTTGTTGAAGATACAGTTGGGTTTTGGTAGCTAGATAGAATTATCTTAGACCCAAGTTAATGATGCATTTAATTGGTAGGGATTTGTCCTCTTTCTCTGTTTGAAATAATCGGATGTTGGAAAATGAGCCCAAAATAAATTTAGACCTAGGATTCTGTTTATAAGGGCACATCGACATTAACAAGTTCTCCTGAGATGCTGTGCACTTTTGTTAGTTCTAATACATACCTTCAGAAACTACCTCTCATTTCAGCTGCGAATTGAGATTACTGCTTCCTTTGAATTGGTCAATGTGTAGAATATGAAAACTGTACTTTATAACCCCTAGTCATGTGCCTTCTGTTTCAAATGACGTCCTCTCGGAAATAAATTCTTCTCTGATTTAAGTGGACAGTGAATGAGATGCTATGAAGCTGACTTGCTGTCTGGCAGGCACATTAGTGTTGTTTCACTCCAGCAGTTGCCCTGGGTGTTGGCTAACAGGTTCTTTCTCCTGGGTGCTTAGGTTCAGCAGACTGTGCAAGATCTTTTTGGCAGAGCCCCAAGTAAAGCTGTTAATCCTGATGAGGCTGTAGCCATTGGAGCTGCCATTCAGGGAGGTGTGTTGGCTGGTGATGTTACAGATGTGCTACTCCTGGATGTCACTCCCCTCTCTCTGGGTATTGAGACACTGGGAGGTGTCTTTACCAAACTTATTAATAGGAACACCACTATTCCAACCAAAAAGAGCCAGGTAAGAGCCATTCTGTCTTTCTGCCTCTTAAGCCCTATGAGTGATGTGCTTCCAGTCACTTGATAAACTTGTCTATACTACCTGACTGGGTGTTGAGACTGTATTTTGTTTTTTCCTCCTTTTTTTTGCAATTCCTGGAAAAGTTGTTAGGCCTCAACTAGCAGTGGTGTTTATGGGAAAGATAATACAGTTTCCTAAAAAGGCTGTTGTCTGCTACCTAAGTCCTTGTAGTCTTCTGTTATCAAAAGCAAATAAGGAAAAACCTGGCTAGGGACATAGGAGTAGGTTTGATTTCTGAGTGAATGATGGGCTACATTGTGTACTACCAAGCAGGGATATATGGACATGGCATGGTCTTAGATGAGAATTACTTCTTGTGGCTTAGATCATCACAGCACTTGAGATGTTGAGGCATGAAAGTTGAGAGTTTGAGAACTGCCTGGACCATGTAGTGTGAACATGTCTCCAATATTGCTTTATTTCCAAACTAATTTAGATCTCTAATTCTGGTGCTTGTGCAATGATGTATTTGTCAGCACATCATTCTGAAGGAAAGTATGTGGTGACTTCTTACTACTGAGCACATGGTACGTTGCCTGTCTCTGATCCTGTTTCCCTGGACTGGCAAACCAGTATTTAAGACCTTGTTTTGATGCCTTAAGCTTTTAGGCTTAAAGCCTCACCTTATACAACATAACTTACTTAATTAGCTAAAGTAATAGCTATTGTATGTCCTTTTAAACTAATCCTGCTCCTGTCCTTTCTTCTGAAGAGTCGTATACATTAGGAATGATCCAGTATCAGAATAAATTTCTCTCATTAGCCTTTTTTCTATAATAGGTGTAGTTAAATCAGATTATCAAGTTTTCTTCTTCCCTAGGTGTTTTCTACTGCTGCAGATGGACAAACTCAAGTAGAGATTAAAGTGTGTCAGGGGGAACGAGAGATGGCCGGAGACAACAAACTTCTAGGACAGTTCACTTTGGTAAATATTTTGAGTCTTAGTATCATGCCTATAGCTTGCAAAGTTGGCGTTTTAATCTCTCCAAACTGCTGACATACAAGCATATTGTGTTATTTTTGAAAATAAGGTTTTTTGTGGTTTTTGGTGGTGGTGGTGTGTTGGGGGTCCCCCCCCCCCCTTGGTGATACAAGACAGGGTTTCTCTGTATAGCCCTGGCTGTCCTGAAACTCTGTACACCAGGCTGGCCTCAAATCCATCTGCCTCTGCCTCCCAAGTGCTGGGATTAAAGGTATGCGCCACCACTCCCCACCTGAAACTAAGTTTTTGTAGGTGAATTATGAAAGCCATGATTTTAGTTTTTACCTAAAAGTGCTTTGTGTTTTCAGAATTTGGAATTTTTTAAAGCCTAGGAAATGTTCAGACTCAGAAGCAATGCTAACTCAGAAATTAGTTTTATCTTGATTACTCATTTCAAAAACACTTAATTGCTACTGTTTCTGGTCAACATTGCCACAGGTAGAGAAGTTTCCTCATTTGTTGTAAACTCTAGGCATATACAGCCATCATGGTTATTAACTCCTTGAAGCCCAATTGATTTCAGAAAGCACTAAAACTACTACCATCACTTAAAATCTCAAGTTTTTGTATATTCAGTGAAGATACCACTTGTTTTAGGAAGCAAGTGGTTGGTTGGCCTGTTTGGAAATGAGAGAGGGCCTCTCAAAGGAGCTCACTCTGGATATTTATTTTAGATTGGAATTCCTCCAGCCCCTCGTGGAGTGCCTCAGATTGAAGTTACATTTGACATTGATGCCAATGGGATTGTGCACGTTTCTGCCAAAGATAAAGGGACAGGTCGTGAGCAGCAGAGTAAGTATTCAGACTGTGAACGACATGTCAGCCTGAGGAAGTTGTCCAGTTGTCCAGTGCCTTCCTAGCATATGTGAGACCCTGAGTTTTGGTTCGCATCAAAGAAAAAGTAAAAGTAAGGTGGCCATTATTGGGAAATAGCCTTTCTCCCTTTGTATGCCTCTTCTCCCCTACGAAGGTTGTTACTATACTACTCCTTTTCCAGGTATCCGATATAGTTGCCGCTTTGTTTAGACATATTTTTACACTTTGTATGGGTGTTTGCTTGCATGTATTTGTTGCACCTCATGCATATCTATTGCCTTCAGAGATACCAGATTCCCTGGCACTGGACAGTTGAGATCTACTTTGTGGGAGCTAGGAATCTTAAACCCAGGTTCTCTTCAAGAACAAGTGCTTTAAACCACTGAGCTGTCTCTTCAGCACCTAAAGAGTTGCCTTTCTGTGTGTTTTTTGAGTTTTTGCTTTTGTATTGTATTATTTTGAGGCAGGATGCCCTAGAAGTTGCTGGGTAGACAGGGCTTGCTTCTTCCTTCCAAATGGTGGAATAGATAAAAATAAAAATAGCTTGAATTTTTAGTGTAACATTTAGAGGTGGTAAACAGGCCAGCCTGACCTTGTGGATTGTTGAAGTATCAATTGCTTGGAGACAGATCACTTACAAGGCGATGAGTATTCATAATATGAATGATCCAAATTAATTACTATGTAAATAGTGACAGTCTGTAGCCATGTCTGGCCTTGAACTCTGATCTGCCTGCTTTCTCAATGCTGCAATCAAAAGTGTGTTCCGCCATGCCTAGTGTAGTAATTTCTCAGTGCAGTAAAAGAAGAGAACTAATGGTCTGCCTTTTTTTTTTTTTTAAAACTACAGTTGTAATCCAGTCTTCTGGTGGATTAAGCAAAGATGATATTGAAAATATGGTTAAAAATGCAGAGAAGTATGCTGAGGAAGACCGGAGAAAGAAGGTGATTACTTTTGTTGAACTTGTTAAAGTTGACAGTAGATTTCGGGCAGGTCACTGATACACAGTTTCTCTCATCTCCTAAGATCTTTGTTTAATTAATGTGAGATTACACCGTGTAGTCAGGATGTTTGAGACAACCCTCTCATTTCTCAGCCTCCCTAGTACCTCAAATGAAGGGGTTTGGAATGTTCTCTTTAGTCTTCCACTGTTAAAACTTCCATGTCACAAAAGCCAGCTCAACTTTCAGAGACATGCCAAGTACTTGAGCTAATAAACTGTGTTGGTTGATTGGAAAGTTTTTTATATTGAACTAATAATTTTTCTAAGGAACGTGTTGAAGCAGTTAATATGGCTGAAGGAATTATTCATGACACAGAAACCAAGATGGAAGAATTCAAGGACCAGTTGCCTGCTGATGAGGTAACATTTCAAGAAAAATTTCACTGATTATTGGAGCTTATTTTTCTTGGGTTTGATAGTTATTCGGTTTCTTAAAATATGAATAAGGGATGAGGGTAGGGTGGCAAAAACTAAATTATATGTAATGAGACAAGACCTAGAAAAGAGGATTTATGTTTGTGTTTTGCCTTTTCCAGTGCAACAAGCTAAAGGAAGAAATTTCCAAAATGAGAGAACTCCTTGCTCGAAAGGACAGTGAAACAGGAGAAAACATAAGGCAGGCAGCATCTTCTCTTCAGCAAGCATCATTGAAACTCTTCGAAATGGCATATAAAAAGGTACAAGGGCTGGAGGGGTAGTTGGAGCCTAATTACTGAGGTTCCCTCTATAACCATTTATAGAATTGAGAATACTGTGAATAGAATGTCACAGGGAAAGATAGGGAATACCAGTGCTGTACAAGGGAGGAGGGGGAATCAGTACAAGGTGAGGTCTGTATGGTGAATGAACCTTGTTCAACAGAGAGCAAACTTGTGGCTAATTGTGGAATCCTCTCAACAGATGGCAACTGAACGGGAAGGTTCTGGAAGTTCTGGCACTGGGGAACAGAAGGAAGATCAGAAGGAAGAGAAACAGTAATAGTGGCAGTGCATTGTGGAGCCAGAAGGACGACATACTATGAAGCTTGGGAGTAAAGGGACTTCCTGAGCAGAAAAGGGGCAAACTTCAGTCTTTTTACTGTATTTTTGCAGTATTCTATATATAATTTCCTTAATATATAAATTTAGTGACAATTGCTAACTCATTTAATGGGTAATAAAGTCAGCAATAGCAGGTTCATACTGTTCTGTCACTAGCCTGTTATTTAGCTGCATGTAAAGGGGTGGGGGATGGGGCTATGTACCAATCATTAAGGTAAATCTGGTTCGTGCTGAAATGGCTGTGTTTTCAAGGTGGGAAGTCCATTTCACATGCAGTGGAGGTAGTCTGTCATGGACCTTGAACTGACATGCAGATGCTTGTTGGCCAAGGGCACTGCTATAAAAAATGACTTAATGTATGAACATTTGCTCCTTCAACTGATACCTTCCAAGACTTAAGCTACCTGTGCCTTGGTCTATAGGTACAGAAGCTAGGTCAATGGATAACAGCTGTGTTAGCCATAAAGTGATATATGAGAGTGATATAAGCCTCTCTTGGGCCTGAGGCATACTTACATTCTTGATGATTGTTCCTTTTTCATCCATTCTGGAATTTTTTTTTTTTTTTAAATAAAATTCTGAAAGCCTCTTCATCTCCTTTGTGAATGGTGATAGCTCAAGGACTATGACTGTACTATCAGGTTTTTAGGAAGAAGTAAAGATCAACACTGACTAAAAGGTTGAACAAATTAAACATGGGGAGGGACTAATAAAATGTAATGTATGCTGGATGTGGAAGCCCACTCAGGAAGCAGTTTGAAGCCAGGCAGGGTTGCACAATGAGATACCTTGTCCTAATAAATGTACTGGCATAAACAAATCCAGTCGTTGTAGTCTTCTATCTAGGGGGAAAAAAAAACCCCAAGTGCTGTTTTTACCTTGAACAAATTTCTAGCAGAGTTGGTTTAAAGATTATAGTGTCACTAGTGAGCCCTCATGTCTGATTATAGTGACTCAGAACAGTTGCCCTGAGGTTTTGGGGTTTTTTTTCCCCCAATCTTTGGTGTTACCTCCACTGTCCTTCAGAGAAAGACTACTCTGTGTAGTCTTTATTTTTTTCATCTGTGGTTATGTGCACATACACCCTGGAGCTGTAGGTGAGCTCTGATGGTGGCGCTTGATGAGCAGTTATGTGCTGCTCATCTTACATAAATCCCTTTTATGTTATGTATTCACTGTGTAGAATGCTAGGATTAAAGCAATGTGCCACCAAGCCCACCTGATCTCAAACTTTTTTTTTTTTTTTTGGTTTTTCGAGACAGGGTTTCTCTTTATAGCCCGGGCTGTCCTGGAACTCACTCTGTAGACCAGGCTGCCCTCGGAACTCAGAAATCCGCCTGCCTCTGCCTCCCAAGTGCTGGGATTAAAGGCGTGC